GGGGGGGGATCCAAAAATCGTTCTCTAATATACCCGATTTTAAAACATACGGATCATATAAGCTCTAGCGTTTTTCACAAAACTTAAATAAAATCATGCTTAGCAGTCCTCAAAAAAATAATAATAATTATATAAATTTCATTTTATGTTCTCAATTCATATTAACTATTAATTTGGTTGTTTTCTTGAACAAATAAACTAATAAATACATTATAAAATGTTCAACAAACATTTATATTATAATTCTAAATACACTTCCTGGTTTGAAGAATTAGGAAATAGTTCAAAATAACTTATATCCTTTTGCCTCAAAACTTCATCCATTACTGAACACAATCACAACTCTCACAACCGCGTTTATATTTAATACAACTGTAGTAACCATTGCAGTACGACTGAAGTACACGGTAGTATTTTGTAAACAAAGTAATCCGAATCCGACTATTAGAAAGCACAGTACACTGTTGGACTAAGTACACATTGACCTCTGGCAGTGACAGAGAAGGAAAGACGATCCGGAAAGTCTCCTTCAAGGATTTTCCTTTATTGATGGTGTATTTTTGGACCTACGCCCATCCCCTCTACTGCCCATCCGACCTACAAGCACGTGGTTTTAACAGCTGTGGTAGGTCCGATGCACTTTTTTCGTAGGTCGGATGGGCATTTTTCGTAGGTCGGATGAGCATTTTTCGTAGGTCGGCCCAGACATGTGGCCGCAGCGCTCGGCCCCCTAGCCTGTCCTAGCCGCAGCGCTTGGCCCAGAAATGAGCTTAACCTAACCTAACCCTAAATATTCACTAATTTTATTAAAAACTGTTGAAATAAAGGTCTTTCATGACCGCAGCGCTCGGCCCCCCCTAGCCCGTCCTAGCCGCAGCGCTCGGCCCAGAAATTAGCTTAACCTAACATAACGTCTTAAATATACACTAATTTTATTAAAAATTGTTAAAATTATAGGTCTTTCATGGCCGCAGCGCTCGTCCCCCCTACAAAAAGTGCCCATCCAACCTACGATCAATATATGCCCATCCGACCTACGCAAAATACCCATCCGACCTACGAAAAGTGCCCATCCGACCTACGAAAAATACCCATCCGACCTACGAAAAATGCCCATCCGACCTACGTGCCCATCCGACCTACGAAAAATGCCCGATCCGACCTACGAAAAATGCCCATCCGACCTACAAAAAGTGCCCATCTGACCTACAAAATTGATTGGCCGTCCGACAGCTACAATTAATTATTTCTACCCTACTTGGGTTTTTGCATGACAAAAGCTGCTGAATAGGTCGGATGGGCAAGAAGATATGCCCATCCGACCTACAGCTGTCGTAGGTCAGATGTTGCAGTAGGTCGGATGGGCAGTATAGCGGATGGGCATATAGGACGGATGGGCAGTAGAGCGGATCAACATTATACCTCCTTTATTAATAGCATCAATTATACAAATATAAAAAATAAAAAGATTTATATAAAATTTGTTACCTTAAAACCTTAGAAAATGTTAAAATTTATTAATCAAACCCAAAGACTAAAAAATATTATGTTATGATTATTTTTATCGATATATACTTTGCTTGTCTGTTTTTCTGTCTGCTTTCCGATTGATGTCCAATAAACGTCAAGACGGCTGACCGATCCAGCCCAAATTTTGTGTGGGACCTTATGAGACCCTAGGGAATTGTTTTTGATGATTGAATTTTCAAAAATTTGCCTCTAACAAATTTGATTTTTGAAATTATTGAAAATTAACGAATTTTTTATATCCGCGAAATTTTTTTTGTTTTTGTTTTGCAATGATATGAAAAGTAAATGTTCACAGTTGAATTATAAGATGGGCGCGAAGCGCCCTAAAAGCTCAGTAAAGTATAAGGCTTGAAGTATAATTACCATAAATGAATGAATTTATTATATTCAGAAAATTTTTAATGCAGAACTAATAGTCGAAAATTGTTTAATAAAAGGTTGGTGTATGAGTTCAAAGAAATTTTTATTTTTATCTTTAATTTCAATTTGTCTCCATTTTGTTACTTTTATAGCTCTTATAATAGTTGATAAAAATCATTAACTTATTAATGAGACAGAAGTTTTAATTAAAACTGACAAAATACTTAGATTCGAGCCAATTTAAAAAAAAAATATATCAATATAAGAAAAAATCAATATAAAATAAAATATCAACATAGAATCATTTGGAAATATAAGGAACTCATATTTTTATATCTGTGGAAGTTTTCTATGTCTGAAGAAAAGGATAAAGAACCTGTCAAATCATTCGTTGGGATGTTTTGTAGTGAATCCCTGTTTTCCTGAATCCTTGATTTCAGACAATATCAACGTTAAAAATAGATATCCGTTGGAATTGTTATTCTTTCCCATAGATCTAATATCTTGCACCTGACAATTGTAGAATCTGAATCCCCAGGTGTCTGGACAAAATACCAATAAAGAAATGACTATTTTTAGTGGTCCTAACCCCTTCCCCCTCCCTTTCTTGTATCACTTCCCCCCCATCGTAAAGAACCGATTAGTTTAAATATACTTTACATTATGCAATTCTAACTAGTAAATAAGAAAAGGAAGTTAAATAGTGCTCGTTTTATTTTGTACATAATTGATGTTTAATATATCATAATTTTGTAAAGAATATTATTATGCTTCGTAACTCGTATCGTTATCTAATTCTTGATGATGGAAAGAACCCCAGGTCTTCAACACTCTACGACAAGCACCGGAAGGAGAAGGTCAACCCATCTGACCTCTCCCACTCTAGAGGATCTCGGACAACATCTACCGAGAGCTGATGAACCTGTATTAGAGCATTGATTAATAATGTTTAGTTGAACATTATCTCAACCTTCTTCTCCACTATGGATTCCAACCCCTCCTTTATCACAGCAAAATCGAGATCATTAAATGACGCGAAAAATATTTTGTTTTTGTTAAAAAATAACCAAACCGGCCCAAACTTAAAACTTTCAAGATTAGGAGCACGCCTTGCCAATTTTGACATAAATTACGAAATAAAATATGAATCACCTTTAGAAAACGAACCATTCTGTATTGCGGACTTTTTGAGCAGGGCATTTCACCCTGAAAATGGAAGCGAAAAGAATACCCCCCTGCGTGAACTACGTAAAGTTACAAAAGACGACATTACACATGACTTAAAAGAAGGACAAATATACAGCTTGACGGACTTACAAAACTTGACAAATCAAAATGAACAATGGTTTAAGAACTTCCCAGCACCAGACGAAAAAGACTATAAAGATGAAAATTTCCCTGTATGATAATTGAAGGACTGCAGTATGGTTTTGGTGAATTATATTGGCGTACTAAGTCTAGGGGTGTCAGAAATGATTTTTTTTGCATATTTTTAAAAACTTCTATAAAACTTTTTAAGTTTAATTTTTGATAAAAGTTTTTGTTCTGGAGAATTGCAAATATCTATCTAAAACTTTCTTAAACCGGCATATTTTTTCTATATTCATTTAGTTAAGAGTTTGAGTCAAAATAAGTATTAATAAATATTGCTTTATATCGAGTAGATATCCTTAAACATATCGATGTAAAACCTTTCAGAAAGTAGGAAAGATTCTGCAAAAAAAAGTTGCCAAACCAAACAAAATTTTAATTTTGAACAAAAATATTTAGAACTTAAAGAAGCTTTCTGGGTTGCACTTTACTCTAGTTTTGCATTATTTTCATTTGTGTAAAACAGTATAAAAGACATTCTGTTGATGGTTTAAAACTAAACAGCTGATGATCAATTGGAGGGAGGAATGGCAAAAACACCAATTTGTAATTCGAAAATCTTTTAATGGAAACTGATTTAACAGGGAATACAGAGTGCTTTAGGGTACAGGGTACTACAATGTACTGTTTTAACAGTATTGAGGGATCATAGACAAAGAATTATTAGCAGAGGATTTTTACTTGAATTATTTCTATAATTTTTTTTATGGTCCCTGATTTTGCCTTCTGTATTAATATGTATTAATATAAAGTTATTAAAGTGTTATACTTGAATGTTTCAATATTTTTTAGTGACGTAACTTTTTATCTAAACTTTTAAAATATAAACTCTTTTAATTACGTTAAGAACTTAAATTTAGATACAACTTTTCTAACGTTACAATTTTTCCAAACCCTATATAGTGAGAACTTTGTTTTGCCTCCCTATTTTACAACTGGCAAATATCCCTATTTAGTTGTTTCGATTCTAAAAAATTCTATATGAAATGTTGTATCAAACGTTTCGACGTGAACATTTCTTACGTTACGCTTCATAAGAACAATATTTAGAGGACTTGAATTCGTTTTACTGAACACGTGTTTATATGCTTCGTTTCTGATAAAAAATAAACAGAACTTTCATTAATATGTTGCACCTAATGATGAGGTCTAAATTTATTAAGAATTGTTCAATAAATAGAAGTCAGGATTACGTTTTTACAGGATGTAATTTTCGGAATATAGATTTGCTACCGATAGCCATATTTTTAAATGAAAGCATTCAAGATGAACTAGATTCTTAAATTTTTTTCTGTGATATTTGCATTTTTACTTTTATATTTTTCATCCTGAATCATGACCCGCTAAAAAATTAGTATATTAAAAAATAGTGTTAATCCCCTTTTTTACTTAATACGTGTCTTACAATTTAAAAAAAGAATTTAAAGAAAGTTTTTAGCAATAGACTTTCAACTCAAATGGCATATTTTAAAGGTACTAGAGACATAATTTCAAGTAACCCTTCATTTACAAAGTTTTCTGATCAAGGATAACTGAGATTTAAAATACTTTTCAATCTTGGAAAACGCTGATATTTTCAAATTATTAATCAGATAAAGGTTTAAAGGTAGCATTGCAGGAATCGGGCAACGCCCTCCTTTAATGGTCGGTTTTTTGAAATTTTTAACGTGCAAATGACGACCTTAAAAAATCGATAGTCACAAGGCCCAATTTCTGAAAATCGGCAAGGCAACCCAATTTTGCGTGTGGAACAATAGTTTTAAATGATTTCATCTGAGGCTTAATTTTTTTCTTTCTCCGATACAAACTAACCCTCCAGTGGAAATTATTATTGATGAAAATATTACAAGCACTAAATTCATTTAAAATGAACAATAGTTTGAAGTCATGACGATAATTAACTAAAGGCACTTCACATCAAACTCTAGTTTGTAATACCTTTATCACTGCAAACAAAGATTTGCACGCAAAAATCAAGCAGTATTTTTCCTAATACTCCTTTAAACTTAAGGCAGAAAAAAGCGCATTGTATTTTAAAAATGTAAATGTCTAGGGCTACAAAAAAGTATAAATGAGTTTGTGAGGTGAAACCAAAAGCCACGGCGTTGCGACACTTTGAAGTCGAGACTTTCTAAACATTTGATGACTATAACGTACTTTCAGAGTTGTCTAGATTTCAGTATATCTTCAAAACTATAGATGGTTTACTTTGACGGTTAAAATTTAGACTTTCGCCACTACCAGAATTCATGGTTTGAAATATCAAAAGTCTACAACATCAGTTTGCAAAGATAGGGATTAGAAAATTATAATTCCTAGCGAATTTTTAGTTATTTTTGTATTGTTATTTATAAATTCAATGTTAGTAAAATTCGTGATTAGTGTTATAGCCTTTATACAACCAAACCTTACAAAGGTGGAAAAACTATCTTTTAATTAAAAATGCAATTGATAATATTAAGGATTTTCTGAGCTCTCTACTGAAAAAATCATTGAAATGTTTGTGCAAGCAAATCCCAGAAAATTGTAGCTTAAAAGAGTTGGTGAATATGTAGATTGAGTAAATTCTATCTAAAAATTTCAGAAGAAATTTCGATTATTAGTAAAAATATAATTTTTAATGATGCTGTGATATTGATTTAGTTAGCTGTGATGGAGTTAAGTGATAAATTTATAAAGTTAAAAAGTTACTTTTTCAAGCAAAGGAATAATTTTTAGACTCTATAAGGTTATTAACCACCCAAAAATGTAGTCTTTTTGGTGTGTTTTATGTTGAACAAAACAAGTCCAGGTGGGAGGGGGCAAAAAAATTAAAAAAGGTATCAATATTTTTACACAAAAAAGGGATTTTAAGGGGGGCACAATGTTGCCAAGGGGGGACCCAAAAATTGTGCCCCCCCCCTAAACAAAAGCCCTCGTACGCCCCTGTATAACAACCACTAGTCTTAGCCATCGTATTCATCAGTCATTGCTTCTACTAATGGAGCTGAGAGACGTTTTAAACCGTCTTAATTTGCAGAATTGTATTTTTTTGTTTGTCTTTTGTTAAACTTTGAAATTAACCCTCATAACCTTACGTTTTATGAACAATGTTTTCATTAAATATATATCAAATGTTAGATTAATAAATTTAATATTCAGAGAATAGTTGTGAAATATTTTAATTTACAGAATTGCATCCTTTCAAATGTTAAACGTTAAACTATTGAAAGCTATAATCTGCATTAAAAAAATGAAAAAATATGTTTAGTTTATTTATTATCCATTTCTAAAACGTTAGATTAGGGATAATGTTTCAACACATTTTTAATGTATTTTTTAGTTCTTAAAACTTTTCAAAACTTGATCTTCAAAAAAGGGTTTCCAGCAAACGAAACGTTTCGCGAAAAAATGCAAAAATTTTCGGTCGCATTTTGCATTTTTCCCACGAAATTTAGCATTTTTTCGCAAAAATAAATGAAGCGAGAACGAAGCAAAATTTCGCGAAAATGCGAAATGCAAAAATGCGAAAATTTTGTGAAAACCATGAGTTTTATAGCTGAACTTGTGGAATTCTCTGCTCTGATAGCTCAATATTTGAAATTTTATCATGTCATTTAAATAATTTGATTTGAGTCTCACTGCCACTAGTCTCCTCTGTCAAGCAACCACTCAAGACTTATTATCATTAACTTTTGATATTGATAAAATTTTGGTTTGACATCTCTGTCTCTCAAACTTCTGTTCAAATAATGTTTGTGTGTTTCTTCATTTATTTGTATGATTTAACTGAAAATAGCTATGTGGGGGCAAAGTAAATATACTTGCACATTAAAAATGACAGATCCTCATCATGAGATTACATATTAATTTTACTTTTAACAATAACAAAACACAGATCTAAATTTCAACAAAAAAATCGAAATCTATAGTTTTGCTTTTATCTATCGGTTTTTTTTATACACATGCAAAGTAAAGATTCTATATCTTCATCCAAATATTTGTAATTTAAATGCTCACTCAGTACCCACCACTGGTCTTTTAATTCTGCTTTAAAGATTTCACTTTTCCCAATGAATCCTGTATTAGAATCATATTCATTTAAAATGTGAATTTTATTTAGAAACCCCATGCACGTTCTTTATACTCAAAGCTCTTTATTAGTATTTTGAAAATTACATGGGTATAAAGTACATGACCTGGTAAATGCATATTTAATGTATACATTAAAAATGATCTAACTTTCTCTTTCCCTAGACTTACATTTGGAAGATGGATCTATATATTATACAGGCCATTCCACATCATATTGGATTGCGAGCTCCCATATGAAAAAAGACAATACCTAATAAAGACGCGCTTACCCAGTCTTTGAAATATCTATCGCTCTAAGAACAAGGAGTACAAGCATATTAATTTTTAAATTAAATGCAAACATGGTGACAGAGTTCACAATAAGTCTTTAACAAGACTTATATCAATGATATGTTTATAACTTTTCTTATGTTGAAGTCAATCATTAAGTTACATTGATCAGAAACCTTTTCTGGAAAGTTTACAGGTGTGAAATTCAACAATGTTTATATATTTGACTTGTATGTTTGTTGGGTTTCTGTATGTCTTTATTCAATAAACAGAACTTATTGGGCCCAAAACATTACCCCAGGGAAGGTTCATGGACTGTCAAAGATGAAAGACTTTGTCCAAAAAAAATATCGGTATTTATTAGTTTTGATTTTTCATTGAAACAGAAAAATCCACGAAGATTTGAGAAAGATTAAAGGGAGTGATTGGCTAATGTAAGGTAGTTGAACTGAGCATACCGTGTTTCGGATTCATTTGAGACATATTAAACTTTTTAAAGTTTTGTAATTCATGAGTTTCAGCGCAAATTCGACGTTCAAAACTCCTACTTTGGGGGTGGATACGTTTTCAGAATTAGTATTTTTTTAACTACCTTACATAGCCGGTCACTCCCTTTAAAAATAGCATATTTCAGAGAAACAGTTAGCACAAGGCGCTTTATGAGCATACTATGAATATATTTCTGTATTCTCTAAAGATCTTTTAATGTCGTAATGTTGATACTTACATAGATACATTTAAACTTAATAGAACCAGATTGTTTAAACAGTTTTAGGCAACTATAAAAAATATTGAACTAAAAAGTACTACTATTTTCAGGGGCGTACAAGGGGGGCCCGGGCCCCCTCTCCCCCCCCTACGCGTGCCCCCATTCGGGTATGCACCCCAAAAATACTTTAAAATCTCACTTTTGCCTTTACCTAAAAAAGTTTCATTATAAAAAGCTTTAATCAAAACTGCCTTCAGTGTAAATATATCTTTGATATCTTATGAGTCCACTTAAGAAAATTACATAAATAATTTATGAACACTCATTATATGGAAGTGTGTATATGACCAAATAGCTTACATAGTAAAGAAATGTATCAATATTTTTTCAAAAAGGGGGTTTTTGAGATCCTTGAAAATCTCTATTTCAAATATAACTTTAACCAGATATGATATGTTGTTAAAGGCAGGTTGTATTGCTTAAGATTCTAAACCACTCCTGAAAAACATCTCTTCAAACTCCAGTTTGAACCAGAATACTATGTGTTCCAAGATTACCATGGACAGGGTTGGATAAGGTTGTTAAGATCAAAACTACAATGTAATAAATCATCTTTTATTGATGGCAATTCATCATTAAAAAAATCAAAACTAAACTTTGATAAGAATGAACAACCCTCGAAAACCATGTAACTTTGGCTTAGGTTTGTTAACAGCAATGGTTTGGATCATGGTACACCAAATAATAGGCTTGTATATAGCAGGCGCGCAACTAGGGGGGGGCAGGCCCCCCCTAGCCTGATTAAGGGGGAGGGGGCATGCCCCTCCCTTAAGAAGTCTTGCCCCCCCCCTGTATGGGGGGGGCAAGAAGTGACGAAGTCCACCCTGTTTTGCAATTTAGCGCTTCATGAATCCTGACCCTGAGTGGGGGGGGCCAAAATTTTTTTCTCGCTTCGCGCGAAATCTTTCCCCCTAGCCCCTCCCCCCCTAACCAAATGTCTAGTTGCACGCCTGGTATATAGACGTTAGAAAATAGACTTATATTTAACATATAAGCAGTTACTACTAGTTATGTTTATTTTAGTTTGAATATGAGATCTGATTATGTGCGTCCACATTAACACTGTAGCTGCGGATTGCAAAACCATGCACCTTCTATACGGCCAATCTAAGGCCGACCAAGATCAGTTCAACCTATGCCTTGGTTGTCTGAAGTATCCTTCTCGCAGTTTTAGTTATTATAAGCAAACCCATCCCCAATTATTTAAATAAACTTTTGAACTTTTTGATCACTTTATTGTGACATAATTTTACTGATATTCCTAAAACTACATGCACCATTTAAAAGAAATAAAACAGATTCTGAGACATTTGTTATGGACTATATAGTGTCCCTAAAATAGAAATCTTAAACCATCTCTAAATTATACTGCATTCTTTTTGCGAAAAAGAGGTCAAAATAAGGAAGATTAGATCAAATGTAACTCGACACAAGAAACCACATTGTGCATTACTATACAATGCAGCATCTTATTTTATTATACAGGGTGTCCCAATAAACATGGGAATTCAGTGACGAATTCGATATCGTCTTTTTAAATAATTCTTTGATTTAGTATAGTGATACCTACTGAGAAAGCTGTAATCTGTAAGATTTTCGTCTGCTATGTTCACATTTTGTTTGTTTATGTTTTGACTGCATATGGGTGTACTGATTAAAACAAGAAAATTACAGTTTACAAACAGAGTAAACTTGCCCGTCTTCACTGTTCATCTTGCGGAGACATTATAGACACATCTTTACAGTCTTTTACCCTTTTCATAAAATAAACTCTTGCAAACATAATAATATTATGGGTTTGAAATAAGGTATTACAATTCTAATTCATAACAAAGACGATATAGAATTCGTCACTGATTTCCCAAGTTTTTTGGGACACCCTGTATCTTAAAATCAAAAAAGTAATATACATTTTATCCTTTATGAAAGAAAAAGTACCACAATATTTATCTAATCTATAAGCTTTTCATACACATGCATACCAGAGATTCAATATCTTCAAAAAGATGTTTATATTTTGGATACTCACTCAGTACAATCCACTGGTCTGTGTACTCTGCTTTAAATGTTTCACTTTTCCCAGTGAATTCTGTGCTTGAAAAGGCAGTTATAAAACATCCAGCTCTAACCCCAAGAACATCAATGTCATTCCGATATTTCCAATAGGAACTAAAATATGGGAAACTTATGCCTCCTTCATCTAACACTATTCCCCATCCCCCTGAACAAGTTGAGCTATCATATGCTACTCCACAAGCTTTTTCAGGAATCTTTTCACAGTTGGAAGGTCTTAAACTTGCATCTTCTGTATTCATGTCAAAGTTAAAAGAATCAACATCACGGCAGAAAGCTTCAGTTAAATCATTTTCAGTAGCTTTATCTTTATCAAGTTTTGTAAGAAGACTGTTGCGTAAACTTTCTTCAATTCGGGTTGTTTTGCTTTCTGTAGAATTTTTGTCTGCAGAATAATTCTTTGGAGTTTGGTTTTTATCATTAAATATAGAATAATTTTCTTGTGAGATTGTATTATTTACAGATTCTAAAATCACAGGTGAAGGTGGGGTCTCATATGTAAAAGCAGTGCAATTTACATCTATGTAAATTTGACATTCATGAGCTTGTTTATTATACCTCATATCTGGTTTGCATTGACATTTTCCTGATTTTCCATCATCTTCACAGATCATGTTCATGTCAGAGCAACAAGGAACAGAATCATAATACCCTAAATTATCAGGATCCAATTCTGTATGTTTAGGATGACATTGTCCATATAATCTTTCAAAACCTGAGTTACATTCACAGATCCCCCATTCACAGTGGCCATTATCCGGACATCCTCCAAGACATTGGTTACTCTCATAGTAGGAGGAATAGTAATCACCATCATCAGTATCATATACACTATTTTCAGTTCTATAACTTCTAAACCCTTTTGAATGCATCATATTCTTGAATGCTTGATATCTATGATATACACTGTACTTAGCCTCTGTATATGCTGCTCCCAAGGTAGCTCCTCCAACAAATCCAGCTGCAACTCCTAATCCCAATACTTTCTTGGAGTATCCTGGTTTCTGCCTGTATTGGTTTTTCTTACTAAAGCTTGTACCGAAGTTTGTTCCATACCCAGGTTGTGAATATCTACTCTTATAGTTTATGCTTGGGTTTGTTTTGCTTATTCCTGGAACACTGGTACCCCATTTTTGCATAGGATATGAACTACTGGCTTTACTTTTACCTAACAAAGGAAAATATATTCTTTTTTACAAAACTGCTTGATTTTTTTTTATAATTATTTGTCTTTTCTTTATAATTAATGTTGGTTTTATTGATATTAACTGCATGTCATAAAATTTCCCTAATATAAGATATATTTCCTCCTGAGCTTCTTCCCAACCAAGTAATACTTGATCTGCGAGTAACTCCACTTGAGGAGCCTCTCCCTCCGAATAAGCCCCCACCTCTACTACCACTTCTACCCCCAGCTCTACCTCCACCTCCTCTTCCACCTCTCCCACCACCTCCACCTCTGCCTCCTCCTCCTCCACCTCTACCCCCTCCTCCCTTTCCTTCCACCAGAATAAAAGCTAACAATATAAGGATATGTGTTCTCATCCTGGCACTGGTGTTAACTACTGTCACCAGTTCAGATCTTACAAACATGAAGCAACTAACTTTAAAAGAATCAAAGGTCACACTTAGTGCTTCAGATGTATATCTTTAATCACTTAGCAAGTTAGCACTGCAGAGCCGGAGGCCATTCTTGGCTTCAAATTAAAAAGCCAAGATTTTAAAAGCAGCAAAATAGCTAAAACTCCAAAACAATCTGAACCAAAAATACAAGCATATATGAGTCAAATTTAATCTTTTTAAATTTTCTTTGGCTACAAAATTCCAAAATAAAGGTCTGAGGCCACAAAAATATTTCCAGCATTTCTGGACATTATTGCCCCTCTAGGTGTAACAGGGTTAAAGATTATACAGCAGTATACTGGAAATTGAATTTTGTAGCGTAAAACAGGGTCACACAGCACAGTTGGGTCCCACAGCACATTCCTACAATATTAAGTATTATAGCATTTTTAGCCAAACTAAATAAAAATACTTAATACATACATTTAACACGTTTTGATTTAATTTTTATACTGTTTCCAAATTGAAGTAAACCATTTGACAATAGGGGGGGGGGGAGGGGGCACCATAGTTTCACTAGATGTAAATATTTCCATTTACTGATAGTGCCGATTGAAGGATTCATATCTCTAATTGGATAATGAGATGATAGAAGGATAGATGTTACCGCCAAGCAGTTTCTATTGGTTCAGAATAGACAACAAACACATGACTGAACCCTTATTGGATCAGGCGTTAATGGACTAGGCATACAGGAGTGGGGGAGATAGTGATTTAAAGAATATACACCCCTAGCCTGAACTTTAAAACTTTCTGTGAGACTGTGTCACTTGACTTGGAGGAAATTTAAGTGTAATTTCAAGGTAACCCTCCATTCTCAGATAGAAATGCCCCATGTACAATGGTACCCTTTAAACCTTAGACTGATTATTAAGGCCAGATGCTCAAGAATTATTTTAAAAATTTACATTGAATGGATTCTAAGCTAATAGAATTTCAAAAGTATCTAAAGCTTAAAGGGAGGGAACGGCTATGTAAGGTAGTTGAACTGAGTATGCAGTGTTGTGGAAAACTTCTTTCTGATTCATTTAAGACATACTTATTAAAGATCTGTAAATCCTGAGTTTGAGCGCAAATTCGGCGTTCAAAACTCCTACTTTGAGGGTGGAGATACGCTTTCAGAATTAGTTGTTTTTAATTATTAAATAACGACAACGAAAAATAAAGTAAAAATTATACAGTAATCTAATTAGATGGTTAGGAACATATTTCTCAAAAGATATTTGTCAATATATCAATGCTAAAATCGATTATTTCGTTTTCATTATTATATTGAATTTCTTATCTTCTTTGAATTTATTCGCAGATTTCTTCAAATTCTTCAAATGTCGTCTTTTCAGTAATAATTCTAGAAAATCTGGGAAAATCTTTGTGAATAATGAGAAAATAGAAACTAATAATTGAACAAGATTACTTATTTTCTACTTTTTTTTTACATTTTATGTTGTCGTTATTTAGAATTTAAAAAACTAATTCTGAAAACGTATCCACCCCCAAAAAAGGAGTTTTGAACGTCGAATTTGCGCTCAAACTCAGGATTTAAAGCATCTTTAAAAAGTTAAATATGTCTCAAATGAATCCGAAAGAAGTTTTCCACAACACTGCATATTCAGTGCAACTACATTACATAGCCGATCACTCCCTTTAAAACACAAATAAAAGAAGAATTTTGCATACTCAAAAAAAAGAACTAGCAGATTCCAATTTCAGAAAGCCTTATATAAGTTGAAAGAAAAGGTAGAATAATACAAAATGGAAAGTGGAGTGATAACAAGAAACCAAATTCAACCCGATATTTTAGGACGGATATTTAGAAGATATCTACAGATCAGACATATATCTAGGATAAAGATAAAATAAAGGTAGGACGGATATTTAGAATAAAGATAAGACACATATGTCTAGGATTATAATATGATAAAAGTTAGGACGCATATCTAGAATACAGATAAGACATATCTAGGATGAAGATATAATAAAGTTAGAATACAGATAAGACATATCTAGGATGAAGATATAATAAAGTTAAGACGGATATCTAGAATACAGATAAGACATATCTAGGATGAAGATATAATAAAGTTAAGACGGATATCTAGAATACAGATAAGACATATATCTAGGATGAAGATATAATAAAGTTAGGACGGATATCTAGAATAAAGATAAGACATATATCAACGATACAGATATAATAAAGGTAGGACGGATATCTAGAATACAGATAAGACATATATCTAGGATAAAGATATAATAAAGGTAGGACGGATATCTAGAATAAAGATAAGACATATATCTAGGATAAAGATATAATAAAGGTAGGACGTATATCTAAAATACAGATAAGACATATATCTAGAACAAAGATATAATAAAGATAAGACATATATCTAAGATAAAGATATAATAAAGATAATACATATATCTAGCATAAAGATGCAAGTTAAGACGGTTATCTAGAATACAGATATGACATATATTTCTAGATTAAAGATAAGACATATATCTAGGATGAAGATATGCTTAGGGTAGGTCTGATACCTAGAATAAAGATAAATCAATGATGTAATATTGAAATAAACGGACCTTCTACTCTCGGGAATGAAACACTAAAAAAAAGTATTTTCAAAGCTTCGAGGGAAAAAAATGATAAATTAGGGATATTTGTAAATTCCAATATTAATACTTTTTTTAAAGATTTTACGACAGATGTTTGTTTTTAAAAAGGGGAACTATACCGAGTAAAAATCAAATTTCTAGAAATATGTTCTCCATCGTTTATTTCAGCCTTCCACCAACTATATGAAATATGTCCATGCATAAGTTTGTTAAATTTTTAGACACTATATTCGTATTCGGTTCAGACTCTTCAGACTAAAGGAATTGAGTTTTTGCCACAAGCTCAAATTTTCTAATCCCTTTCTTTGCAACTTGACGTGGAAAACCTTTTATATTTCAAACTCAGACTAATTAATCTAACAGAATTTTTAGTTTGAAATATCAGAGGTATAGCACATCAAGTTGCAAAGATATAGGGATTAGAAAATCAGAGTTTGTGGCAGAAACTCAATTCCTTATAGGGGTTTTTAAAAAATAGTATCTTAATATTTAAAAAAATGGTTGGTTCGCTGGAATAAAAACGTTTAAAACATAAGCTTGGGATTGAATTTACCGCCAACTCAGTATGAACGATCAAGTGTACAAGGGTGTATGTACTTATTTCATGAAGAAAGAATTCAACGGTTGACCTGAACAGCAATAGAAAAAAAGTGAAGTGAAAGGAGAGAGGAAATTAAAAAGAAACGTATATTTTTCCAAAAACCATATTTCATCCCCATATCTCGCCTAGGAGAAAAATTATATATTCTTTGAAGGAGAATACCCAGCGGTAACGGTTGACACACAGCTAAGACTTTTTGCAGTTATAAAGAAATGAGAAATGATTTTTAAAATTAATTATTCTTAAAATTGAACGAGACTATTTTGATTATGAAATTAGGTAATTAAGATAAATTCCCTTTCCCAAAGTATTCACGAAACATTTGGTGTAAAACTCAAAACTAGAAACCAAATTAAAAAACTAAAGAATATTCAGCGAATCTTCCTCCGTTCTACAAACCAATTTGAGATACATTTTTCATCTGAAAAAGAATGGTAAACCAACTACAACCAAAAAAATTTATTCTATATATAATTTCTCATGAACACATCTTATCTTAGCTTGTTTAAATTGTCTTCTAATCACTGTCAAACTTGATGCTTGCAACTCCAGTATTTATAGGTCCACCCCTATAGGATCCTCTTTTCTTCTTGGTTTTCTCATGACGAAAAGATTTTCCTCTTGTTACAATTAAGTCCTGGCTTGCTTTAGCACCCCACGTATCAAAGCCTGCCTTGGATTCAAATCGATTATCAGAAAATTTCTCATCAACTACAATTTCTTCAACTTTAACACGACGGAATGGTGCATTGGGTTTCCGTTCCGAATTGGTGAGAGCTTTCTTCTTATCTTCTTCTATTCCGCTGTCGGAATTCTCCTGCAATAGACAGGATTATATATATTTAATTTCAGTCATTTTTATCGGTGGTTTTGTTAAGAAAAGGTTTGTACATTAAAGTACACATCTCTATTAAACATATTCTTCACCGACCGGTACATAACCGTTCAGTGTGTTCACGGGTTAAATGTTCTGTACACATATACAATGTACACTACAGTGTACAGTCATCTTAGAGGTTAGTCAAGAACGCAAGGTATTGGATTAATTTCATAAGTTAACCCGATGAAAAACCTACAAATCATGATTTACCGCTTGCGTACCTGGGTTGGCTTGGCAGGGAGGCTTTTACTAAGCTTGGGTTTTTCAGCCTCTTCGTCCGATGAAGAAGAAGAATCTGAAGAATCAGGTTTCGAGGATTTTGTTGGCGCTGGCGTAGATGTTGCGAATTTTTTAGAAGGAGGTTTAGAGGATTCTTCATCAGAAGAGGAATCATCACTGGAGCTTTCTGCTTTACGTTTATTACTAGGTTTGTTAATTGGAGTTTTAGCTACAGCGACAGGTTTGGAAGGAGCTTCTTCGTCAGAATCTGAATCACTAGATGACGAAGACTCAACTTTCTTTTCTGCTGTTTTGACAACTGTGGGTTTAACAGATACAGCAGTGTTTTTAGGAGCTTCATTCTCTGAATCTGAATCACTTGATGAAGAATCAGCTTTCTTTGTTGCTGGTTTCACATGAGTAGGTTTAGCAACCGCAGCTTTTTTGGGAGCTTCATCTTCTGAATTTGAATCACTAGATGAAGAATCAGCTTTCTTTGCTGCTGGTTTCACAGGAGTTGGTTTAACAGCTACTGCAGCTTTCTTGGGAGCCTCATCTTCTGAATCTGAATCACTAGATGACGAATCAGCTTTCTTTGCTGCTGGTTTCACAAGGGTTGGTTTAGCAGCTACTGCAGCTTTCTTGGGAGCCTCATCTTCTGAATCTGAATCACTAGATGACGAATCAGCTTTCTTTGCTGCTGGTTTCACAGGAGTTGGTTTAGCAGCTACTGCAGCTTTCT